CCCCCCCCCCCCTGCTCGCTTTTAATGGTGGACACTAAACTGAAAGTGATAGGGCTCCCGGAAAGGGGGTAGAGGGCCACAGGCAGTACCGAACACATTTTTGTACCCTACTACTAGCCCCTCGTCCTCTTCCCTTCCCTCCTCCCCCCTCCCCGGGATCCACCCATAGCCTGGAACAGATTAGAATGGAAGCACTGTTACTTAAAACAACATCAGGAAGCCCAACTACGAAACAATAAATGTTTAATGCAAAAAACTAAGAATCGCATGGAACCAGAGGACTAGGGTACCACACTTTAAATACTGAAAAAACTCAAAATTCTTCAGCTTTACTATTAACAAGAGATGGAGGCACTCGGAAAAAATCCAGCTATCAACAACTGCCCAGAGCAACTATTCACTGGCAAGGCTTTTTTTTTGGGCTGGTACCTAAGCGGTCTCGTCGGCTGGTCCAGTGATCCGGCGCCTCCTTGGATAGGTAGTTGGGTCGTCGATTCCTTGGCGATATTTTGGGCTAGAACAAGGGTCCGTGTCTTCTGTTGGTCATCGGGGCCGTTTGCACCGTACATCACAATACAAAACTACTTTAACACCGAAACTGCGGCCTTATATGGGCATCTTCGCGCCATTATACATAATCTACCTAGGAGGAAGTCATGATGCAACACTTTTTTTTTACAAAGGTTGCTTAAGAACGAGCTGAGGGCGATTTTGTCGCCCTGACAAGCGCTTAGTACCAATTTACCATCGAAACGAATGAACGAATCGTAGAGGGACTGGTTGCTCGATCCACTGGTGACCTCCAGCACAGGATCCCGCAAAGCTATCACTGAAGCATGCCCATTGTTTTAATCCAAAAATGTACTTCTAATTTTAATCCAAAACAAATAATTTTAATCCAAAAACATACTTCTTCCAGATCAATTTCTGCATGGGGGCTGAGATAAACGATTTTTTCGGATGTGAACAGATCCAGATAACTGGAAGGCGATACTGTTACAGATATATTTCTTGGCGAATTGGCCATTAACAAGTGCCTGCAAAATATACCCAATTTCTAAAGAAATACCAAAAAAGTGCTTAATTCTTCATTTGTCCTTATTTGCTTAGAAAACCATTAAAAAAAGTGAAAATATAATTTTGCACCAAATACCTCATTCTTCAACTTTTTGCCTAATTCCCCGTACTTCTTCCTCTTTCGTAGATAATTTTGGCTCACTTGTAGCTAAACGCCAGTAGACTGATATCCAAAAATAATTCACAGCCTTCCACTGAGATATAATATTAAAATAAGAGGACTGGACTTAGGTGTCACGTATGAGAAGACATTTCATGCGATGCAATTTCTGTATTTTTCATCCCTTAGCTGTAAACATAGACCCGAATCAAGCGAGTGGCTAGCTCATCAGCACAGCCTCCTACCCGCCATGTACTAAAAAGTCATGTGATTAATATAAATATCAAGATTTTCTAGTAATAGAAAAATATTTTAAAGTTTAAAAAAGACAAAAGATATCCAAAAATAATTTTACAGCTTCTATCTCTTGTCTTCTTCCAACTTTAAAATATTTTCCTATTTCTAACTGATTATCATCAAATCTTACCTATTCTGTTCCTCAGCGATATTTTCGTTGCTTGTATCGAAATTACAGTAGAAAAGAGGCCAGGAGCGATGTCGATCACGATTTTCACTGGCCAAATAATTCAGTTGACAGAGAGTTTGTGAGAGTGCTTGCGGTGAAAGTTTATTCAGAAAGCGACAATCAACCAGCAGTGCCGGAGTTGGATCCATTTGAGCAGTATGCAGATGATTCATCAATCTTCGTTGCTCAGTGATACGCTCTAAATACAGTTGTGGTTATGCGTGATTTACGAAATTATACCAAAAACAGGAAGATTTCCAGGCCATCTGTGTCGGTATCCCATGTTAGTAATGGGCCGCTGTTCCTGGCCCCGGTTACTACCCTCTTCCATTCCCTCACAGGGCCTTAGAGGCCTGTACTGCCTTTTACCTTACTTGCTGAAAACAGTTATGCCAGGCCTTTCGATCCAAAAAAATTTATGAATTTACAAAATTATAGAACGAATTACGAGCACATAAATTTATGAAATGAATGGAAAATCCACTGAAATTTAGGCTTACGATGAATGGATTAGTGCGATTAGTTTTAATTCACAGCTAGAACTTAATAGCTTCAAACCCAGTGTGCATGGTTCTCATGTTCGGGCCTGTAAAATTTTTTGATGGGTAAGTTGCTAACTCGGGAACTGGAAAAGCTAGAAAGCTGAAATTTTAAGGGAATGTATTCTGACAGTCGTGGTTTCGTCGTTCTTCAGCTATACATAGCTGGTATCCTTTCCAGTTGCTTTGACCAATGCTGGATCACCAAGTGGTCAAATTGCTGGCCAGCCTAACGTTGAAATTAATGAATATACTACAAAATATGTCGCATATTTTATAAATAAAAGTAAACAAATCAGCAATATACTTTTTAAAAATACGAACTATAAGGTTACCAATATAAAACGACAAACAAAAAACTGCAAAAAAAACCAAAAAAAATTTTTATGCAAATTATAAGATTAATACAATCTTTTCCCTAAAATCCCACAAAAATGGAAAATAATTCTAATTTTTCATAAACTTTTGAACTCATTACTAAATCAGAGGTAAAATTTAACGTGAAAAACATACTGCGCTGCGAAGTGCCCATGAACATTGGAAATCCTGAAAAAGCGGCCATCGATGTATTTGGTTCGCAGGAAGATTTTCGCTGCTGCTGCTTCCTGGCTTTAATTTTTTCGTCTTTCCGCTCATTTTGACGGCAAAATTTCACATGATTGAAGCGCTGCTTTTGCGTTTCGCATTGAAGCAGTCGTTTCCAGTCGGCATCCGTGATGTGTTCCGGAAAATAGCTGTAGCACCGGGAGAGCATCTAAAAAGCTTTTTTTTTTCTCTTTTTCCTTCTTTTCCTTTCTTCCCCTCTTTTTAACGTCTATGTCTCATTCTAAATACCACGTAATTTACGTTTTCACATGGTGGTTAGGAGGCTGTACTGATGATCCCCATCCCTAACGACACTTTACACTGTCTGTGTTTGCAGCTAAGGGATGAAACACAGAGAGACCAAACGACATATCTCTGGTACACCACTATTCAACATGTCAAAAGGATTGTACCACACCAACTAGCCAACTACCTTACCCACCACAATTTACTACTAAATTCCATCCTTCCTGTCTTAAATTCCACCCTTCCAGCCGCCCTGATCCGAAAGGAAGCAAAACGCAAACCTCCACTTCGGTGATGATGCTTGCAAGTTGCTCCCGTTGTGACACGTCCAAACTTCGTATAAACTGCTCCGAAGGAAAAGTTCTCAGTTTACATTCACCTGTAACTCAACTTTTTAGGTTTTTTTTTTAAAAATTGATGGGAAACAGGCTTTATTCGAGAGCACATGCACTTACCCCACAACACCGGCCACCGGGTATCCAAGCCCAACATTCCTCGCATTTTGAATACCAATTTCCTCCAGCAATTTCTCGCAGCGTCTCCATTCAACATCGCAAAATTCTTCCACATCGGCCGCCACCTTTTCACTGGCAATTTTATAATTTAATCCTTCAAATCCAGAGCTATCAGAGCAAAAACAGATTCGGAAAATCAAAAAAAAAAAAAAAACTGAGTCTACATTCAAGTGAAGACGGATAAGCACAGTTTGGCAAAGGCGAATGGAGCAATATATTTTGAAATTAATGAAAAATTCGATTGCTTGAAAAACTTCGCTAACTGCTAGGACTCTTCAAAACACCAATGTGAGTATCCCATGTTAGTGATTTTACTGAGATGATTCCGCGCTCCAGGCAATATTGATTTCTTTAAAAATACTAAGAATACTAAAGCCGTCGGATTATCAATATCGGTATCTGGTGCTAGTGGTGCTATTAAAATGCATCCACACGTCGGGTTGTAGCAGTAAACAAGGATTTCCTTAAATATTAAAATAAATTTAAAAAAAAAATCGTTCTTCTACAAAAATAAATGGCAACGCGCACCAGACTGGCCGGTACGATCATGCGTTTTGTGCAATTCAGCCAATCGAACGACTGCCTATTAATGATTTTCACCGCTTTGTACTTTAGTCTATGCAAAAATAGTTCAAACATTGAAAAACAGTTAAAAATTTCACGTATCTGCGTATGAAAGCTGAATTCGAAATCTTGAAGGATGAATATCTTTCCGTGATTCCCGAGTTAATAGTTTACACGTCAAAATTTTCACGAGGCCGTAGGTGGTACTCGAGTGTGCGAGAACGCTGAATTTGAATGGGCAAGGTTGAGCATGGACAGGGGGTCATTACCCTAAAATTTCAGCCTTCTAAATTCCGTGGTTCCCGAGATATTAACTTACCCGTAAAAAACTTTCACGGGGCCGTATGCGTTACCCGCGGGTACGGGGAAGT